GTACTGATTCAGCATAGCAAGAAGGTCCTCCATCAGACCGGGGTCTTTCTGTGTGGGGTTTGTATGTTCTCCCCTTGTTTGCATGGGTTCCCTCTGGGTACTCCGGCTTCCTCCCACTGTCCAAAGACATGCAGCTTGTAGGGATAAGTTAATTGATTAATCCAAATTGCCCATAGTTGTGAATGCGCGAGTGAATGTGAGCACAAACGGTTGTCTGTCTCTGTGTGTTAGCCCTGCGACAGACTGGCGACCTGTCCAGGGTGTACCCCGCCTCTTGCCCTATTACAGCTGTGATAGGCTCCAGCACCCTCCGCGACCCTGAAAAGGATAAGCGGAAGCAAATGGATGCATGGATTACAGTACACTGCAAGATATGTTCTATGCTGCTGAAAGAAATGGATGTATGTGAGTAAATATATTTAAATTTTGTCTATCTAATCACTGACACGCACACACATGCAAAACAATTTAAGAAAAAAAACAACAACTCTTGCCTCCTTTTCACTCTATAACAACATCATAGGTAAGAGACAGTAAATTCCTTTGAATCATCTTTTCCATGCAGTACACTGAGTGCTATTCATAAATGGGAGAGAGATTTTAATAATCATGTTAATAATCCTCTGAGGAGGATTGGAAAGGAGCCATTAAGATAGCTAGATCTACTTTTTCTTGCAACCATTTGTGAAACCCAATACAAAATTTAACCCTACCTACAGTATATATAGCTCCTAATGTTTTGCATAAGATTACACCTCATGTTTCCCCTTTTTGTACCAAATGTCCAAAACAAACTGGTACCCTCTTTCATTACTTCTGGAAATGTAAACTAATCAAAAGATTTTTGAGTTCCATATCTCAAGAATTGAGCAATATTTTTAAGAATTAGATCTAAAGGGACTCTGGATATTTTCTTCTTGGTTTACTTTCAAAAGAATCTTTATGAACTTATTTGCAGCGCAAAGTATTAGATAAAATATTGTTGCTGGCTTGGAAATGTATTCTAATTAACTGGGTCAAGGATAAACGTCCCACTGTTAATTTGTGGTAAGGGGAATTGTCTAAAGTTATTTCTCATGAAAGAGTTGCTGCTATCTTAGGAGAAAATGATAATTTGTCCCTCAATGTTTGGTCTCCTTGTCTTATCTAGTTACCAACTGATTTGTCCTAACTTTTGAGAGGGGCCGGTCTTTAGGGCGCCTCCAGGTAATTAGGAAGTGAGGATGGGAGTTCACTTCTCTATCTCCTTTTTTTTTAAATCTGCAGGTGACTAGACAGTAAATTATTATTATTATTTTTTTTGTTTTTTTTCTTTCTCTCCACTTTTCACCACATGTGTAGTTGCAAATAACTTTAAAGATAACTGCTGTTTGGCAGTGTGTTTGCATTTATATGTAATGTAGTGGCCCATTACTGGCAATGGCATAGTGCTTTGTACCATCTAGATTTAATACCTATATAGTAAATTATGAATAATTTCAGGAATGTTGAAAAGAACACATAAATAAATGTTGTGCAAATAATTTCTTTATATAAATGTCATAGTAATTTTAAATAAAATCATCTGAAATGTTCATGTTGTGGAGGTATGTAAGGATGACACAAGAGATCCCAATATTTTACTCCAACCAAGGCTGGACTGGGACAAAAAATCGGCCTGGGCATTTTGACTAGAGACCGGCCCACCAGGATAAATGTGACGTCATTCAGGGGTAAAACCGCAAAGGATTCTGGGAACTTGTGGCAAGAGGTACTAGCGCA